AGTTCGCTAGCGGTGCTAAGATGGTATCTTGTGGCGTTGAGTAAAGGCACTCAAGGAGTGAAAGATTGGTGATTGGTTTGTGAAGATCCTGCAAGAGAAGCGGTATTTCGCAAAAATCATTGATGATGTGACGACATTAAATTGAATTAAACTTTCCATCTGCTCCCATTATTGGTTAGAGAGGTCGATCGCCTGAACTTGAAAATAAGAGAAATTATAAAGTAAGGATTCACATATATCTACAAGACCATGTTCCTACATGTATATAACTTTTAACGCTTTGATGCCTTTGCCCTCTTCATAGTCAGATTGATCCGAGTCGTTTGTTCACAGCCACTCCTCTTCGTGATGTGCATCTTCGCCGTCGTATCAAATCGAATTTTCGGTAGTGTAGCAACGTTCAAATGAACTATCTTCAGTTGAGAGTGTCCTCTCATATAGGACTGTTGTTGATTGATTGCTCGTTTATAACAATAAATTTTTCTGCGAACAATCCATCCTTCAACAGTTGATATTATATTGGCTAATACGAGAGAACTCATGCTTTCATACAATGACTTTCATTTAACCTCGTCATGAATAATCGATATTTGTTCTTAGCACAAAGTTGCGGCAAAGGTTAATTCTTAACACATAAAATCAGATGGAGGCGTACACGACGAAGTGTTGGCAGTGCAATCTGCAGTGAGTTATCTTGAAAAATCCACACTACCAACTAAAAAGTTTTGTGGCAACACATGGAAGTGGTATGATTTTTCGAAACATTTTAGTTCCATCATATTAGATGGCTGAGATCTACATGAGCATTTTGAAATATTTATTGCTTCAAATAGTTTGTTAAAACGCTGATTTATTTCTGAACTGCCAAATATAATGTGTGACCAGGTGAGCTACACTAGTCGAATGATGTTCTTGGTGCTTTTCAGAGCGAACGTCTGAAATCCATGAGAAAACGTAAAATCACTAGGGAAAATTATGGAAATGCAGTCAATTTCTTACGGAAGAGGTTAGGTGGCTCCGACGAGTTTATATTCCGTACTGCTGAAAAGTTGGATTCTGAGAACTACTTTCTCCTTTCTTAAGCAATACAACAGGCGATCAGGGGAAGGTGTTTGAATAGCGCAAGTGATAATAGCACAATTAATGCGAGAAGAGAGGGCATGGTTTGTTAACCACTAGTTACACGAGTACAATGGAAGTTTTCTGAAGACACACAACGCAGAGTATTTGTTAACAAACAGAGCGCTGTAGCCAATAACACTTTCCGGATGAGAATGCTCGTACACCTTCTCGGTCATGTTATTTTCAATAAGAAAATGAGGGCATTCTGCATTGACTTGTTGTCTACAAACAGCAGTAAATCTAGCAGCGAGTCGAATCAGTCTGACCACCAAGCAGTATTTCTTGTAATCATTGCAAAGGAAGTCACAAGATGGCTGATAGCTACAAGTACAGACCGACACAGGAATATTTTCACGACCTTCTAAGCAGTGAGCTATACTTACTTTGTGCATCTCCACAACACGACTCGTCAAAATTTAGGACAGGTTATTCTCACAAATGCCAAGGTGAGGAACATGATTCATCGTACTGATTTCTAACATCAAACAAATGAAGCTTTCTACACACACCCAAGGATAACCCTGAATTGAAAAGAGATGCTAACGGAACTAATATAAGTTACCGCAAACGTTTATATCATTTTTCAAGGTAGACCAACTCTCTCAGGATGCAGTTACACAGCAAAGAGAGGAAAAAAAATATTCTTAAGGTCTAATAACCCAGTAAACGAGGAAGTCTGTAATCAACATTTTTATCGACGTTCAAGTGCAAGTGGTAGGTCCAATCAGAAAAGACCCTAAGGAAATTTCAGTTTTGTTAAACACTCGAGAAGAAATCTCTTCCATGCACATCTCGCTTTCGAAGAAACCAAACTTTCCTACAGCAGTGACTTCCGAATTTCTTTTCAAATAAAGAGCGGTAAAGGGAAACAACATGGAGATGATTCTTCGTTATGTAAACACTAACTGATGATGAATTACTACAAACTTCGCCCTTACTACTAACTGATAGTCTAATGTTTTTAAAGCTCATTATCTTTCGTACCTCCCGCATACCACATTTTTGCAGTTCTGTGAGGTTCGAGCGATATCACTTCGCGCGATAGTGATTATTCGCAAATATCCGAAATTTGATACCGACTTCACCACTAGAGCATTGCTGGTTGAAGAATGGTTGACGAAACGGTGGTAATGGTAATTTGCTTGCTTCTTGCTGCTAACTCCTATTGAGTACATCAACTCTGACTTTATTGCCGAGTCTATCTTAAAGCTCATGCAAATAAAATGCGACCCTAGGCAAGGACACCTTAGAAATGGATTCAGAAGGTGAAATACCTGTAGCCAACTCTAAAAGCGAGCGCGACCCTCCTAACGCGGTAGGCCTTAACTTTTCGGCTACATTGTTTACCCTTTTGTGACACGTTTCGCAGTGTTCAAAAGTCATTCGAATTTTCCACGAAAAGGTACTTTAGAAGCTGATTTAGTAGAGATATAAAACAATACTCATGACCCACCAACTATTCTCCTCAAGAGGCGTTGCTCTAAATGCTTGCAAAGTAGAGGGATTCGGAATGACTTGGTGTTTTAGGCAGCGGCCGGAAAGTACATTGCTTGTTGAGGTAAGACAATATTTTATCTCGTTGACGGTGGTTCTTTTACACGTCGGAATTACCTTGCTGCCACATCTCACAGTAATTCTCAATACTGGCTTTACATTAACCTCAACATTGATCAATAACTCGCCGTTTTCTTGATGGGGAAAAACGAATTTATTAATGTGTTCTTATGAAGTCTTGTTGAGGTGATGCGAGGTTGGTATAAGTTGCCGCTGTTGTTGTTGTTTTTGTTGCGTTGTTGCTGTTGTTGTTATTGGTCGACGGCCGACGTTTCTGCTATTTCGCTTTCCTTGGGGCCTGGGCGTATTTCGGTAAAGAATCTGTGTTATCAATGAAGATCTAACATGTGAATGAACAGCATATTGATCAAAAATTAACAGTGATGTTATGAGTTGGAGTACCTGTGTTGTTCACGTGGGATGGCAAGCGAGACTCACCCAGGTCAAAAAATTGTTTTGAAATAAGGCCCAAACCAAGAGCGATAGTGAGGCATTCGTCCTTCCGGTTCATCTTTGGATTTTTGAAATTTATCCAAAACGCCTCAAGAGTCTTGCGCGTCGATGTTTGTAATTCCTTCGCCAGGACTCAGACATTCACTTCAACATCATCACTATTGTGCTTCTGCTCCTTATTTGCACCAAGAGGAGTGCTTTGTCGAATTTTTACTTTCTCATCTAGATGCTCTTTTATGCGGACACAATGTGGTTTACCCGTTTCTTCATTATATTCTTCAACACATGCCTTACATCGGATCAATTGATCAATTATATTGTACCCGATCTCACGCAATCCCCGTCTCTCCTGTTAGAACAGATAATACAGTTTTCTTAGCTGAAGAAACGATCATAAAGGCGATTGCAGACCAATTCACGGGGCAGGGTATTGTGTGAAGGGTCAATAACTGCCGCTTAACTTTCAAGACCACTTTTCCTTGGGCACCTTTTAAAAAAACATGAGTCTGTTCCCACAGTTTTTTTTTCCAGAATTCATCATGCTTGCTTTGTTGTTGCACTCATTAAGTTGTTGTTATTGGAATCCCAGCGGCTTTGTTTTCTTCAGCTTCGATTCAGTTTTTTATTTTTTGGCGCCGACACCTTTATTGAGTTAGAAGACTGCTTTGGCAGTCCAGTACACTGGCTTTGGTATTTCTCCGGCCATGTATATCCGTGTTCCATATGTATGCTCTTTATCTTTCTTATTGTACTCATAACGTCTTAATCTTTATCTAAGCAAGCAAATTCGAGCTTTTTTCTGTTTTTTTCTGCCAGGTAAATATTCCTTCATAAAGAACAACAACTAGGTTGCTGATATTTTGTTTTTGGGGGAAACCTATAGATTTGGCGATGTTTCCTTCTTCTCAGGATAGTAATCTAGTTCTTTCCACTTCCATTTAATTCTGTTCACGAATCTGGTTCACTTTCAATAAGCTTGCCTTATCTACTAAAAGTTGTGAACTATCTCCTACTATGCGTGGCATTTCTTAGGGCAGGCAGAAAAGCGAGAGTGTTAGAGTGACCACGCCCCCTGACGCCCATCCATGCATTCAATGCAGATGGCCCACTATCCCCTGGCTCCATAACTTATTCCTCGTTCAACAGTCAGATTTTTCTCTCTTTTTTCTATTTTGTTCTCTCTTATGACTTTATGTGTTCGTTTTCCCTTACTGAGTTATCGCACCCGTACTAGCATGGTTAGTTTGTGCTCGACATGATTCCAATTTTTGAGGTAATGATCGTTTTCCTACTACGCACTACTGTACTATTGCTTCGTGCCTCAACCGAATTTGACCACGCCAGTGCCGAACATACTGTGAACTATTCATCTGAAACGAAGACTACTGTGCAACCGTTGTTGGCTAACACATCATCACTAGCAAGTCGTCAGAACATCGTGAATCTTACGGATGTTGATGACGAACCACATGTGGACGATAGCGTTATCGTTACGGAAGACGAACCCAATTCCACTAAGAGCTTGATATACTCTCTGATGACTACTGGGAATAACCGGTCACATCTGCCAATGTACCCAGCGCAACATGAAATGGAAACATCCGCACCAGTTGATTCTCAAAGAAGAAATCGGTTCTAACTAAATCTATCATATTGTGCTATTGAATAAAATTCTTGTACATTTCTAAATTTTTCAGAGTTCTTGTCAACTTCCCAGACAAACGACAGCTCGAAGTATATCGAGAAATCCAGTTGAATGAAAGCAGTTTGAAAAAAGCTCTAGAAACCAGTATGTTACTGTGGTCAATGCTTTCGTAACCAGAAGTCAACTGTTTATCTTTTCATGCCTTTCTATTCGATCATTTTTTAAGGGTCATGTAAATCAAGAAATTATGTTTCGGCAAAAAGTGGCACTGGAATGGCTGCAGCAAACGATTCTAGGTATTTTCAGAGTTAACAGCAGACGGAACTGAAGAGCGTTTGTATCGTAATTTGTTGTCACCGGATCGCTACGAAAAGGATGTGAGGCCCACCACCCATCATTTGAAACCTACCAACGTCACTTTCGGCTTTCTACTGAATCAAATAGTGGAAATGGTGAGTGCACGTGGAAATAGTGAATGTCAGAAAGGAATTTGTAGCTTTCCAACGTTCTGAACTCAACATAAAACAACGAAAAGAAGATATGGAAAGAAAAAGGATTTATGTGGAGGTTCACAAAACAGTTCTTACTACTTAGGACTAGTCGCTAGCATATTATTGACATATAGACGAAAGGACTTACTAAAGTGACATGAGTCGAACTTACAACCAGCTAAACAATATTGTGGTTTCACTACCCTATGCCATCTATGACATCTTCAGCTAACATTGAGCAGATTTGGATATTTCGATGTTTTTCTTTGAATGTAATTGAAATTTGTTAAGGATGAGCGAAATCAAATGTTAACGACGAGAAGTTGGTTGAATATCAACTGGATGGATCAACGTTTAGCGTGGAATTATTCGGAATGGGAAGGCATTAAGACAATCTACATTCCTCATCAACGACTCTGGAAACCTGACATCATTCTTGTCAATAAGTGTGTTGACTTATCTTCATAATATCGTGATATAACGTTAGTTTTCACAAGACGATGCAGATTTGCTGCCTGTTTGTGCCACTCCTAACGTGCACTTATAAGCTGGCCGTAGGGCGGTCGACACTTTGTTTTTGTTGGCTTGGACTTGCTCGTCTCCGTGAACTGATTTATGTAAAAGAGCGCCCAAAGCGCAATGCTGACTTGTTGATTCGATTTCGGGGCACGCTCGAACACTAATGTCTTTTTTCTTCGGAGATTGGCCAAAACCAAAGGATTCCATGTGTTGTAGCTTCTCACAGTGTAGCTTCACATACAATGCGAAATACGTCAGAGGCGTTCTTGTTAGAAATTGAAAATTGATCACTTTCTCTTTGAAATTATTATATATTGAATAACCTCTTCAGTCAATTTTTACAGTGAAGAAAGCATCGACCAAGTGTTGGCAACTTATTGACGACGACGTTTAGCTTCCAACTACTTTAGTATTAGTTACTGCGAAAGTCTACTCCATTATACAACATAGAGGTAGTTAAAAGGTGGCAAGTACAATGACTTGTGAGTATCTGCCACTTTATCGAAGCAAGCATTCCTCTCTTGCTAAACAGTTTCGGTACCAATTTGTCTGTTCTGTAAGAAGGGATGGCAGGTTTGTCCTGGTCTAGTATCAATCTTGCAGCCACGAAGGGGTGAAGAGCTTGTTTTACTCTGGTGGAGAGATCGAAACAGCAACCACCTATGCTAGTAAACGATCCCTAACCACTGCGTTACTCACCGCGTAGTGAATACGAATGTATGTTATATCCCCAAAGGCTTGATCAACTCTGAAACCCTTATCCTTTTACGCTTTGGGGAAATCTGCGCATGTAACAACATGGCGTTATTGTTGGATAGTATGTAAGGTCGCTCATTTGTTAATTTAATTTTAGATAAGGATTGAAACAAATTGGCAGTGGATTTCGTTAATATCAATTTTTATGTTCAGTAGGTTTGCATGTGAAAAACTATGTTTTAACCACGACCTTCTAAGGAAAACCACATCTTTCTTAGCTGCTTTTAGTTGCTCTTTAGATTGTGAAGTACTTTAGTTCGATTTTTCGTCGCTAGTGCATTCATGACCTTAATTTTAAACAGCAATGCCATTCTCCTTTCGTAAGAGAAGAAAATGAAGATGGAATATTGCTGCATTTTGCTTCCAGCCAAAAATGTTTTAACTGGTAAGTTAATACTGCGATCGCGAAAAATGTCACTTTAAGTCATGAGTGGAATTGCCTCTACTGCTTACCGGGCTCGCGTAACATTTTTTAATGCACAACACCCGGAATGAATTGGGTGCAGTGTATTTGATCCGAAAATGATGGTTGCTTTCAGCTCTAACCAAAAAAATCTAACCAAATCGTAAAGCGTAAAAGGCTTATGGCATCGATCATTACCTAACGGATGCGCCATGGATTCGATTAAATAGGGCATTGTTTGAGGTAATTGTATGCATATCTGGCATACGCAATGACTCACGGTGAACCACCGACGTATCGGATTGGTTACAAGTCTGATATCAATTCCCCGACCCCGGGTGGCTAGAGGATTTCGTGAGCCCGTGGCGCAGAACCGAAGAAAGACCACGCGTGTATTGCAAGACACATCTTAAACATGCCAAGCTTTATTAGTTATGGTAAAAACCGTGAGAATGCGAACTTCTTTGCCTCAAAATGCAAGTTGACTTATTCTAGTATGATAAAATTTTAATTAATTTTTTGGAACACATCACACGTACTTTGTGCGGTTTAATCTATAACTGCTGCGCTTGCGTTAGAGATTTTAAATATCCAGATACAGTTTCGTTTCAAATTTGAAGTTTCGTTTACAAGAAATAACAGACTTAAGAAGAAACAGGCAAATATGGGTTGTTCCAAACTCCGCAAATCCTTTCATTAAAAAGGGACCATCGTCCGTTCAAACATCCGGATTCGTGTGTCCTCTGTTAAAGGCCAGCTTAAGGACTACTCAGTTTAACACTCAGCACTTGCATCTCATGTTAATGAAAAATGTTTTTTAAAAGTCAGGAAAGTCTTGCTTCCCTTATCACATTCAACAGCTAACTGCTTGGCCTTGCCGGAATGGATCACTTAACCAAACCTCTGAGAGTTCGATTAATGCAGGCAAATCTAATTTCTATGACTTTTCTTTCAAAAATTCAAATGTCTCTTGTGTACTCCATACGCCGTTCTTCTAGTTTTGGTTAGTTTTATGGCCTTTATGCTAATTATTTCCTGAACAATGTTTTCTTTCTGCAACATCTGTTATTCCGCGCTAGAAATTTTCTGTTGTTATGGGTGAGCATGCGAACGATGAAAAGTCAAGGAATTCCTTCAGAAGCTTCATAATTCCACTTATGAAGTGTAATTTTTAATTTGAGCGTTTAAATGTCACAGTTTACGCTTTCAAAATCTAAGTTTGTGTTCAAAAAAAAGAACATTAAATTAATCATGAAACCTTCATTCCTGAGACTATAAGGTAGCTCGTCTTTCTAAAATGTGAACTGAGTGGTGGAACCAAAACTGTCTAATAGCGCTATTTTTTCAAGAGGAACTCTATCACGCGGTGCGCTCCCAATCATAATACTAGTTCGTTAATTCCATATTGTTTGAGAGCGGAAGTATGAAGCTGTACTTATGGGGATAATTTCTTATTATTGTCAGCGAATTGATGGTGGATTATTTTTTTATGTTGGATGACTCTTTTCTTGATATTATGCAGGTCTCAGGACTTCTACTCGGTTCCTTGTTCCGCATCCGTTATTCATGATGATCTTCGAGTTTGCTGATGGATTCGGCTGTAACTTTAGGACTTTGTCTTCTCCAAGAATGTACTTGAATGTTGCAAAGTTGATTGTTCTTGTAAACCTGGAATACCTTTACTTGAGCGTTCTTTCACCGCAAGCAGCTACCAGTTAAGTGTGAATTGAAGGAAGCTCTTGTCAAAAAAATGTGATGCCAATTTTTGAGTCTGGTAAGGATGGGAGACCTGGATTTTCTGCTACAGAGTCAAACCAGCGATGGCGTGTATATTGCAGGTTATTTCTAGCCGTTGCGTTTCACGTTCCACTGGAATTTTCTCTAGCAAGGTTTATACACTTTGTAGTGTGAATGATACAATTCTTGTTAGTGTGTTTTGGTTAAAAGTAGCAAAAGATCTCAGAATGCTTAACCATTATTTGAGCCCGTGTCGTCATGAGTGTTGTTTTTGAAAAGTTAACATGTATTTTTTTCTTTTATAAGTTTAAACGAGGTTGATAAATGATGTTTAAGCTTATACCGATAATCCACAGTTGTTCGTGTTTTCGAGGAGGCGTTTTCGTATACATCATATATGAAAATACATATTGATTTGTCATACCGACGTTGAAGGGAAGTCGATTTTGAAATATTATCGTGCTTGGTACTAGGTGATAATGATACCGACTTCTGAAGGATGGATTGTCCAGAATAAACAAGTGGTTATCACGGAACAATCAGTGCTGTCAATGACAGCCGTACTGTATAAGAGGACATAGCTGTTGTGACTGTTATCTCTCGAATGGGGCATACTTTATACGGGCAGTCGCCACCTCGAGAACACGAACAACTGTGGACCATCGACTCTGATCGTCGCCAGTGATGAAGACGATACGGTACCATCGAAACGTCAGCCGAAAGTAAGGAATGTTATCAACCTCGTGAAAGCTTATCAAAAAAGGAATAAGTATTGATTGGTCATACCAAGGTTAAAGGAAAGCCAGTTTTGAAATATTACTTTTCAATTATTACTTTAAGTAAGAATAAAAGTTTTTCGAACGGTCAGTCGACTTGCCGCAGGATTTGGCGCCAACCAGAAACAGACCGAGTCCAAGGCGACAATTTTGGCTCAAATCTACGAAGGCCAGAAACCGCCATTGATGACGATCTGAGGGCATTCTAACCTCCTCTCGCGTTTCCAGAGAAAACCACTCTCGAACAGCATCGGACGTGTTAATGGTAGAAGATAGCAGAGCTTAAAGTTGTGGCCAAATCAACGAGCTTAATCGCGTTTAGACGATATTGCAAGACAACGAAAAAAGGTCCTCTGATCCGTATGAAGATGGGTCATTTAAGGATCTAAGTGTGTAAGCAAGTAACTGAAGAATAGTGAAAGTGTTTCAGCGCTGTACGAGAATACCACGCATCGCTAGTGTCTACAGATATCATGGTGACCTCGAATGGAAATGTAACATGGTTATTTTCTGCACTTTTTCGTAGCTCATGTCCAATTCGCGTCCGCTACTATCCGTTCGATGATCAGGCAAGTTTGTGAATAAGCTACCATTTCATCACTTTGGAATGGATTCTCTTGGAACATCTTCAAATAGTTAGCACGTCACCAACTCATTATCTCCAAAACAAATCCTTACTAAATATTTGAAAAAGGAATCACATACCCATAACGGTTTAATTAAAGGAGTGCGACCTAAAATTTGCTTCGTGGTCTCACGATGTATCAGAAATCGACTTGGGTTTAAACACTGATAAAGGAGACCTAAGTAGTTACATGAACAACAGCGAGTTTGACCTTCTCGATATGATTGCTATCAAAGAGGTATTCACTATTTATCGTTTATTTCCAGAATAAACTAAACTCAAGTTACTGACTGGGATTAGCTATTTTGCAGATCGTAAGTTTTCCTTCGAATGTTCAATCAAAGTGGCCAACGATTGTCATCCGAATCAAGATGCACCGGCGCCCACTTTTTTATGTGTTCAATCATGTGAGTCGTTCCTAGGAAAGAAAACCTATTACGCACTTTTTTGTTTTTTTTTAGACTTAGTAAGTAATCTAAACCAGAAAGCTTCTTTCTAGTCTAGTTTAGCTACTAAATCTCACCATCTACCTGAAATAGGCACGATCTCACGTGGCAGCCACGCAAATTTGAGCGTGGGGTGTTATTTATTAATATATAATGGGCCAGAAATACATGAAATAAAGGCGCTGTTCCTTCTTGGATAAGCTAACACGTGGTTAAAAGCTTGTTTGGCTAATGTTTCGACGAGTTAATGTCTTCTTAAGAGCCGATGATCAAGGTCGATGGTCCACAATCGTTCGTCCTCTCGTTGAGGTATCTCCGTCGTTGTATCAAGTCGATTCTGCTTCATTGGAGCACCACAGGTTTTCGAAATAAGAAAGCTTACACACGACTGTTAACATCCAATGACCAAAACCCAATGTCACGAGGTGTTCACCAAGGGCGACGCCTGTTTTTGGATATGGTGCGCACTTGATAGAACTCATCCGCCTGTTAAATTCATGGCTGTCTTCGTACGACTAATTCTTTGATGACGATGAGCATAAGCAGTTCACAACTTGGTAGACTTTCAGGAGGCTTTGCTGCATCGTTATGGGGTATGGATAGCTTATCAAAACGAAAAACTGTTGAATGGCAAAATTAGGCAAAACTGGTTATGGGCACAAGTGACCAGGTCCTGTTCTCTACAAGTTGAAAGAAATTTATTGGAAAACAGTTGTTGTTGAAAAAAACGTTTGGTACTTTGAAAGAAACTTATGAGAATGTGAATGAGATTTAAAGAGTGTTTTCAAAAAAACAAAACACGGAACTACATAGTGCAGTATTCATTTTGTGAGCGACCAGTCGACTATAATGCGACCTTGTCAGATGCAATCAGTAGGTTTTGCGCAGACGACTCTAAATCTATAATAGGATAAAAAAATAAGGGTAAAGCTCTCCGCGTTGATCTATCTCTGAGGAGTGCGCTATGCATTCGACTTCACTAGGCATTGTTGGATGCTTGCATAAATAGCCTTTCCGATGACTCGTGGTGGCTTGCCGATATAACAAGCCAGTGCTGCTATCCTCCCAGAACAAATCTGGTACCAATTCGTCGACTCCGGAGGGATGAAGGACTTGATGGGTGTGGGCTCGGAGATTGATCCCATGTGTATTGAAGGGCGCCCCTGATCACTGCTCTACACGCGCTCCGCATCTCTGCTAGAATGACATAAATACAAGTCTTCTCAATGGTTTGCAATTTTTTGGCTTAGCAAATTGTTCCTAACTGGTGAAAAGGGCTTGACAAACAAATTCAACCGAAAAGGTTTCCTGTAAATTGTTAGGTTTCGAGAATAGCTTTTTTCGGCCTAGGCCTGATAGAATATCTTTTGTATGATATGCAGTGAATAGAAAATTTCGCAGAAAGTGTGAAACCAAATATATCATCGATTTGGAAGTGTATTGAAATAAATGCCCTCCATATGTTGTATGTTAATGGGACGTCTATTTGGCAGTGGTTAACGTTTTGGCGAATTGCATTTTCATCAGAAACGCTTTTTGTGTCGTCTACGTTCGTAGGAAGAGGGCTACAGCTGAGAAAAAGAGATATTGCCCTTCCAACGCGAATTTTTTACGGCTTTGTTCACATAATTTGGATAACACAAAAGACCACATATTTTAAAATTTATAGGTTTTACAAAAACCTTGTGCTAGCTTAATAATCTGTGAAGGTCCAAGAAAGAACCGTGCTGATGGAGAGGAAATCCACCGAAACGTTAGCCGTTAAAGAACAAATGTTACAGTTTTAGCAACGTCTTTCGTCTCTGAAATGCAACAACTTATGGTGTTACTGAATAAAGCGCACAGAAATCCAGTAATAAAACATATGTGTATTCCAGATTATACCATGCGTTCTGATATCATCAATGGCTGTGTTAGGATTTCTTATGCCACCGGAAACTGGCGAAAAAATAAATATGATCATCACCACACTATTGAGTATGGGTGTTTATCTGCAATCAATCACCGAATCGATACCGCCCACATCAGAAGCAGTACCGTTGATCGGTACGGAGATGTTCATCAAGTGTTAGGGGTTCTTTAGTATCGAATTTGAAAATATCTAGGAATGTACTATGTGTCGTCACTGTTGATGGTATGCTTAGCGACATGTGTGAACGTGATAACTCTCAACATGCACCGAAATGGTGCAGCTAATCAAGGAAGGTGAGTCAATAATCTTATGCTTACTTCAGATTCTCCTGTCCATGCATAATTTTACGAAATACAGAACATCTGTCTAAAGAATGAACACTACAAAAAAATGTTTAATTTTTATTTTCTGCCTGCAACAATTTTCACAGCAGGATATTACGCGAGATACAACCACAACGATGAGATATTTGCAAAACTCCGGACCGCAGGTGCTTGCAGTGACGAACGAACGACTTATTGTCCTTTCCGGGGAGTAACGCGTTCACCACGACACCATGCGGGTTCTTCGTTTCGCCTGTCTCTCAGCTAGTTCTATCGATCAAACAAAAACTAAAGTTTTTCATGGACAAACTGTGCACTTTTCTTCATAGACGTCTTAGGCTACTAATTTCTTGCCTACTTGGCACATAACGCCCGAAACGCATTGATTTCAAAGAATGGGCAGGTACAGGGTTAAGAATTGCTACACAGTTTCTAGTGTAGAAGCGAATACTTGCCCTTATTGTCCTGACGTTTTATTGGTATTTTAAACGCTATGTTGAAGCAAACTTATTTTGCAACCTTCGGTTATTTCAGTTTACGAATCTATTCTTTTCTTTGAGCGACCTAAAACCTCTAGTCCTTCTAGTGAACTTCTAACATAAAATGCATCATAGTTCTTATAGCCATTACTGAAATAATCTGTACAGAAATCTTTCCTGCATTGGCTCTGTTTAGTGCTAACCTACTCTGCATATATTATAGCTGAAGTGGGATGTTTTGGTAACATCTTCTATCTCCCAACAAAACGTCCACTTCTTTGGCACCTCGATGGATTTCTTCTCGCATAACCATTCGGTAGCAGAGAAACGCTAACATTTTGAAGATAGCGTAGGCGCCCTAGCATCATGAATTTATTCCTTGACAACCACGTTATGGTTATAGAACCTCTATGTGTTTACTGAACAGGTCTTTTTCACTAAATGAAAGGAGAGCGTGTGTTTCTAAATCATGGGTAAGAAAGTGTGCGCCGAAACCGAGGTAAATTTAAAAATTTGCATACCCTCCACTATTTCGCCAGATACACGTAGAATTTGGTCTCGCATGCCCAAACAGATTTTGCTATCTTTCTCAACCATCTCCAGTAAATAATTCCTAATATTGGAACGGAGTCCTGCATCCAGATCCACTCCAAGTTGCCCTCATCGAATATCCAGTTGTCTCATGAAACTATTATTTTTCATAACTCATGGCCGAAATCATTACCTTCGTGCTTTTGTCGAAATTCCTCATTTGCTGACATGCTCCTTTAAGTGCCAGGCTTTAGAATGATTGGATCTCTTTTCCTTTAAAAACATGTACGAATAAATAGTGACAATAGTAGATAGCAACGTGTACATATTTAGAGCGGTAAGCCAAAATGTCTTCTCTAAGTGTGTCTGGTTCTCAAATTCGTGAGTACACCAGCTATGGAAAAATTAATTATTTTGTTTTATTTTGAAAATGACATGTTGGAATGACGTACGAATTGTACCAAGTCTCCAACCATCTGAATTCCACGTTAGCTTACCTGCAATAGCCTTACGAAGTGCGGTGTCGGCCACTGCGTTAGTAGCCTGGTGCATAATTGACTGCAGTTTTGAACGTGAATTTTCAGTAACTATCGCTGTGCTCATAAATCAATTTATCAATAAGGATAAAAACCGTTAGCATCTACACATTTTTACCACAAGGATACAAGTTGATGTGTTTCGGTAGCATAAAATTCTGAGCTTCTCGAAGCGATGGGTTTTTGGATGAATTCGATGGAAGATTCTTTTAGTAGCGGTTTGATCGTTGGTGTTTTTATTAGCTAGTATCTATCGAGTTCCTTGGCACACGTGATAGTTGCCTACCGAGAGGTGTGATGAATATGAGGTAGGTTTCCTAGCTCAACTGATTCAACTTCTGGAGTGTTAATTGTACAACGTGTACTCAACCGTTGTACTGAAAGAAGATTGGACCTGCTCTATATGCAAAATCTCGTTAGAGACGCAGTAGTTTTTCGGAGGACTTCTTTGATTTCATTACACCGTTTCTTTGTTGTGAATCTCTTTTCCGATCTTATTTAGCTAAGATTCAGAACGTTTATTATATGACTTTTTCTAGTGAAGGCAAGGGTCATCAAAATTAAATTCGAGGAAAACTGGACCGAAAGCACTGGGTTATGGCACAGGGTCCACTTTTTGTAATGTGACAAAGCAACTGAGAAGTGGTTCGCCTTTGTTGCATAGAAAAAGCGAAAACCGCATCACATCTTGATGCCTTCAATTCATGCTGCACTCATGTTTCAGGCTCTTCCACCTTTCCAGCAACTTCGAATGTTAAACTGTCAACGGAAAGTCTTTCTAAATTGCCTAAGTAGCCTTCATGGGGCAAACATAGATTGTCGGCTTCAGGTGGTCTTCGATAATAAAGACTAAGATCTTCTCCGTGACTAAGACTAGACGTGGGCATGTGCGGAATGAAACTTTACGAGCAATTGTGCACTGTCCTTTCGTAAACACTTGTTCACTTTTGGCTTTAATGCCGTTTTAAGTTGCTAAGTTCATTTGTTCCCAAGATGGAGCTCGTGAAGCAAAAGGGTGCAATTTTCTCATTTTAAGAGCGTCATTTCAATCGATCTAGCATCCTTGCACTACAGTTTAAGTGTTAGAGAAAAACATATGGAAAATTATTAAGCAACAAATGATGTAAGTAATCAGCAAATATTTTATATTGAAAAAAATCTGTTCACCAATTCAGTAGTGGTGAAAATAGCTTTTTTTTCGTACTAACCTCTTATTTGCGCGGTTCATCATGAAGATGTTGGAAATCCAGTCACAATATTTTTATGGTTGGTGTTTTTTCAACTGGACAGGCTTCTTTTCTTTAAATTTGGAAAATTTCGAGCCAAGCTTTAACAGATCGTTGTCAGAGGCAGCCACCGGACCTTGTGGATCTGACAGAAGGCTACTAGGCGTCCTCCACCCATAGCGGCAGCGATTGCTACCATACCATTACTCATGGCCAGACATCCAATACCAATTTCCTAATACTTTTTCAGCTTTGAAGACTCTGCCGGCGATGATTTATATCGTTGATTGGCACCTAGGAACATCCCTTGTCAATGTGAAAGGATAGAGCGATTGAGAGGGAACCAAGCATCGAAGGCACTAGTCGTTTTCTTGTTCAGCAATCGCGAGGTTTTTAAGCGGCAAAAATTTACTTCCATAGAAAAGCACAATACAATACAACACTAGCTGACGTTTCGGCAGTATCGCCTTCTTCAGAGCCTGGAAGGGTATACTGATGTGCAATCTACTAGGCCAAACGCTTCAATAACACAAAAAGACGAAAAACACTATGGTAATTACATGGTCAACAGCTTCTCGAAAAACTCACCGCTTTTTTCGTGACTTCCAATGAGGAAGTTTAGAACAGCTGATTATAGTCGCATACGGTTGATGACGGCACTACGCCACAACAAAAATTGGTGCGAATATAAAGGGTTCGCGTATGACCCCTGGGCATTCATCCCTGTTATTCATTGTAGGCATTTTTGGCATTTATCCAAAAAGCCTCAAGAAGTTTTCGCGCTAGTGTTTTAGTCTCCTGTGCAAGGATATTGACTTTCACTTCAAAATTGTCTCCGCTATGCTCTTGTATCATATGCGTGCGTAGTGGGGTACTCAGTCTTAGTTTTCGTTTCTTATCTAGGTGTTCTCTTATATGAATGCGCAAAAGTCTGCCCGTTTCACCAATATATTCATCTCCGCAATTATTATAAGAGATCAGGTATATCGTACCTGAACTCATGCAATCACCGTTCCTGCCGTAAGGGCAAATTACGCAATTTGTTGTTTCACATAGACGGTCATACAGGCGGTTACGAACTAATTGACGACGTAGAGTAGCCGGTGGTATTTCAACTATCGCAACCGATTCCTCTAGACTTGCCCTTTTTAAGTATCGTTTAATAGCTACGCTTACTTCATCGCTAATAAAAGGCAGCATAAACGGGGCTTTCTTTTGACCAAGTGTTTCGCTTGGGCGCTTCGCTGTCCTTCTAAACTTATATCGTGGGTTTACTAATTCGTAGCCATTGGAGATGGCTATTTTCCGAGCCAAGTCTCGTGATTCTTCCTTTAGTTCCCTGGTTGTGCACACAGAGGTGGATGTTCGAAACATGTTTCTCACGAGCGTCCTCTTTGTGTGTGAAGGGTGGGAAGGAAGGAAATGAACGAGGATGTTCTTGTTATTTGGCTTTCGGTACCACATTGTCAGGTAATCGCCATTTGATAGGTTTATTTGAACATTTAAAAACGGAAGCCAGTTTTTTCTCAGCTTCTACCGGGTGAACTTTATCTACTCAGACTGCTCATTCAATAATTCAAGGCATTTGTCCATCTCCTCCTCTATAGAAAAGACGACAAAACAGTCATCCACATATCTGCAGTAGAGTAGTGGCCGGAGATCGGAAACAGGGGCTTCTATTTTGGATATAAGCACAATGGCAAGGCTTCGTGCCTGTCGCTGTTCCATTGTCAACCCTCTTATTTGCGCGAAATACTTCCCAGAGCATCTGAAAATCGAGCAGTTTAGGCACTCCTTTAAGAGAGCTATTAGCTGCTGGATGGACAAGTCTTGCATTTTGATTTTTTCTTCATGTTCAACAAGAGGTTCGAAGACGGCTTGCTTTGCGGAGTCATTCGACACGTTGGTGTACTGCGCGGTAACGTCGAAATACTCCATCACGTACGCGTTACATAGACGTTCTAGGACCATTTTGGTGCTTGTGAGGTGAGCTGGAATGTAGTTAAGCGATTTGGTAAGTATTACGCTTAAAAACCAGGTTATTCTATCTGTTGGCCCGTCTACACAGCTGATGATCGGTCTAACCTTAAATGATGACGGATTGGTTGACGCATGATCATCAGGTGACACCAACTTTTGTGTTTTAATAAGTAGGCATAGGACGGGACATGTTGGTCTATCGATTTTAAGGTGCGAAATAACCGATGGTTTTAAACCTGCAGCCTTTGCCACACTGACTCATTGCTTGTTTAGCTTTCGGTATTGACTTTCATATTCCTTTTCAGAGGATGGGCGATAGAGGGTAGCATCACTAAGATGCTCCTCTGTTATTTTAACATCCAGCTGGCGAAAAATAGATACGAACTCTCCCCCCTTATCACTAACCGACAATCTTAAAGTTTTCGAGTTTATTAATTCTCTAATTTCTCGCATGCCACATTTTTGTGCGACTTTGAGGTTAGAGATAAACTTTCTATCGCGGTAGTGTTTAAGGGTCTTGAGAACGCTGTCCGAAAACAAGCGGAATTTTATGTCAACTCCATCTTTAGGGTCCTGTTGTCTAAAAAAATGTCAAAAATGCCTACAATGAATAGCAGGGATGAATCCCTAGAGGTCATACGCGATCCCGTTTGTTCGCAACAATTTCTGATATGGGATGGTGCAGTCATCAACCATATGCGACTATAATCAGCTGTTCTAATCGTCCTCATTGGAAGTCACGAAGAAAGCGGTGGGTTTTTCGAGAAGCTGCTGATCATGTACCATAGAGTTTTTCGTCTTTTTGTAAGAGTTATTTAAGCAATTCTTCGTATTTTTGTTGAGCATAAGCTTATTCGTGAATAAAGGATAATAACACCTCGCGTTTGCTCAACAAAAATACGAAGAATTACTTGATCAATGCCGAGGTTACTAGGAAGTCGATTCTGGGAAGTGTTACAATAAGACACTAGTTTCGATTTTTTCTACTCACCTTCGATGACCTTTTTCCGACTTCGAGTGGATTTATGGGTACAAGCAAGTCATCTATACCTTTTCTTGGTATGCCTTCTAGGTATGAGTTTGTTGAGAAACATTGGTGAAACAAATGCTTCGAGCCTATTGCTTTCTTTTGAGCCACAATGATTCGATCGAGGGCGCATTGCGGTTACTTGTCCTGACGTAGTAGTCTTTGCAGCCATACCAAGTCGAATCAAGTAAAGTTGAAGTTCAAACTTTAAATTATCACCGTTAAGGCTTTTCTAACAACTTCGTGAAGACATATCGATAAAACATGCCGATTTTTTATGCTGAGTTTAAGTGAGGAGCGGCTTTTTTAGAATTAAAAACAATCAAGTTCGGTTTCAACAAGTAGTATTCCTTTCCCCACGAACAAAACGATTAGTCTTATTTCAGGCATGTACCGTGCTGGATGGAGAAGTGGGTGTTGGGCTATTTGGCTTCCTTAATGCGAATGTCCATTCGAGAACCAGATAGTATATCACTACTAAAAACAGCTCAGGTTTGCCCTTTACCACGACCCATAGGAGAGTGACAAGAAGAAACCTCTCAACTATTCGACTGTAGAATGTTACTTCCCATTTAACTATTACCAAATTTTATAGATAAAAAAATCCACAATACGTCGCAGTTCAATTCTGCGGGATCTGAAAAGAGTGAAAAATTACGATCATCGAAAAGGAGGAGAACAACTATCTGCAGAATGTGACTGCACGACAAAAACCAATGTGAGAAGATCATGCTCTTTAACGCGAACAGAGATTGAAAAATAAGGTAAACGTATGATGACATTGACCGCATCCTTTAAGTGGAACCAAGCTTCCGTTAAAATTATGCCGAGAAATCAGCCACAGTACTCAGCCATCTAATGGGAAGAATCAACGCGGCTTGGACGATAAGAACTATGGAGTGGACTGCAACTCTAACAGGATAAAAACGTACTTTGGGACGACCACCTAAACGAGCGACAGACGTGTTTGCAGCTAAAACCAAACAGCTGTATAGGTGATACTCGCACAACGTCATCACAGTCGAAGCAAACTGCCATCATGAACGACAATCGCAAAACAGAGAGAAGACTGGAAAATGTACTGCAGCTATTACTATTCTTGTTGAAGGGTAGTCGTAGTGGATGAGAATCTAAGTAATTCAGAACTTAACACATACAAGTTCATTCTTGATATAAATTTTGATCTATCATGAAAAAATAGCCCGTGTCTGGCTGGCATGAATAGCAGACTTGACCGAGTGTGGTGGTTGCATATGCTTAGAAGAACTGCTCAGCTCCATCATCATTTTCGCTTTCGAAGTTCTGACACATGAGTTTTAACACCGTGAACTTTTTATGTTGCTTTATGCTCCGGCTTGTTATCCGGGGTGGCTAGTCAAGTATTTCGGATTTCTTTGGGCAGTGGCTCGAGTATTGGATGCTCGTGTTGCCCTGTTTTCCTTAATAGGAAGGGAGCACAGTTGTCGTGAGAGGTTTTGTTGGTCTAAAATGGGCTATCATGTATGAAACAGCGAGAATGAAAACAGCCAAAATTTTGGACACCTTTCGAACAGTTTTTATAAAAGATTGAATTACATGAAGAATTATTTGGATGTACTGTTTAGGTTGAACTGTCATTTATTTTAGATGGTAATGGAAACTTTAAGAAACTTTCTCGCAAATCCAGAACAATTATGTAGAACTGATTTTTTGGCACACTTCAAACGCATGATGAGAAATTTATAACATTTCGCCATTTGGTAGGACATTTCATTTTTTTTGAAAAATTAAAGAATAATCGTGCACCGTTTGCAGAATCTAAACGATCTAGAAATGAAAACGCTTCCGAATAAGTATGTGAACAATGGTAAAGCTGCCCGGAAATGTTTGGAATCCGACGGCGCATTTATTGGAAGGATCGCAGATGAACAGGTGGCGTTGAATAATCGGTGCACGTTTTTCAAAGTGATTTTCACCGGTCAGAAACAGGCAATACCACACTTCCAGCAGAAACGAGCAATGGAAAAAATTTTGAATTGGATGAGTGATTTCAAAGCAATACACGCTCAAATATCGGCTGTTAAATGACATTAGCACATTTACGACGGTGTACATCGATCCTTATGCAGTTTCTTCCTAGTGGTTTGCCTTGCTACACGTTTTTTATTCTATCGACAGCCTCCCTAACACAGGAATTATACCGGGCGTTGTCCAAGAAATGTTATTTTTGCACTCCATAATTTACGAAATGGCGATCTTGTCCTTCTAATAATTTACAAAGACCTATTTATTGGATGCCATTGTTATTCCCATCAAAGAGGGCGTTGCCGGAGAAGAGCCTACAGCGGGATGTCAGCTGGCAGAAAAGCCACAAATGATGATGGGTGAGATGTCTCTGCTGTAATAGAAATACGTGACCTCTGCAGTGACTCCTTTCTTTTTGTTGCAACGGAATATGCAAGAGACTACCAGTGATTAACACAGCATTTCATTTTCCTAGGGTGGAAGACGTGCACAATAGACAGTACGCATTGAGTTTAATGCACTCCTCAACCAATAAAATTTTGAGTGACACAACCAAAATGATGCTGAGATATTTGCTCCTTTCCTGGGTCAATTTCGTCAAGGGTGTTACTGATGGTGCTGTTCGATAAAACTAGGAGAGAGACAGGCCAAACGAAGGACCCGTATGGTGTGGTGGTGAACGAGTTAGTCCTCGGGAAGGGTAATAGAGCATTCGTTCCCCACCTGCGGTCCGGAGTTTTGCGAATATCTCAGCATCATTGTGGTTGTATCAAAAGTAATATTATAATAGAAAGTAAATAAAAAAGTTATTGTGATTTATACTTTTGAGTATTGACCCACGGTTAAGGCACTAAGAATTAGGTATTGTAGCGAGTGAGATGGTGGAGTTATGCTATTAATCAATTATTCCTACAGATTCTGCCACGGATGAACGTGAGCGGACCGTTAATGCTTTCTGAATTCGAGTGTCGTTTTCGACGAATACTTAAGCGTATCTATAGAAGTCTACAGCAACATGAGATTCGTGAAGAGGTAATTCTTAGGCAGTTAGCTTTCTTTTTTCTGTTTACGTAAAACCGTTTGAGCATGGTTGCATAGTGGAAAAATTAAAGAAGTACAGTATTCAATTGAACAGAATTTATTCCGCAAACATTAGTAAAATCAAAACGGTTTTCTTTATCTAGAAAAAAAACTCTATATTTTCATGATCTATTGCAACAATATAGAGATAACTGCAAGGAATACGGAAAAGAAAAATCGATAAGATCGTTGCACAGCACTTTTTCACTGCATCTCGAAGCTGCGGGCGGTTTTTGCCAGCACTTCGAGCCAATTCTAACTCATCCGAGATTTCCGAGCTGTGATGAAAAGCCATAGAAATTAATGACATTTCTATCCGTGAAGAGTTTTCCAATGGTCTTCTTCAAAATTTGAATGCTTCTTGTATTCATAACTGTAGTTCACTTAATGCTAAAAAATGCTTTGGCTTTTGGTGAAAAAATTCAAAAAAGGAAATGCCATCAATTTTAATTATGGCAATAAAAACATAAATGTAAGTAATACAAATTTTTCTTTTGGAGTAAAAAGTACTCAGTTGCAAATGAATTCCAAATGTGATGCAGAGAAATAAAGACTGTTTACTACTAAGAAACTTATTAGAAAAACGTATCATTTGAAAATGTTATCAACTTTACGCAAGTTGCGCAGCGGTTAGAGAGGCCCGAAAATACCTATGGGCTCAATTTCGCATTCCAGGCTCAGCAAGCCTTCCATCCTTCCGGGGTTGGCTAATCGGCACCAGACTTGTCTGCGAGGATAGCAGCACTGGTTCGATACATCGGTAGGCCACTGAGGGCCACTGTATAGGACAGATATGTAATCAATGTGCATATAGTGAAGAGGACAAAGAACACCCGACTCCGTGCCCACCCCTTTTCGACTCAGCGGTACTACCTGCCCTAACGTATGCATCAGAAAACTGGTCGCTGCGTAAGCAGGATGAAAGATTATTCAGCGTTATTGAACGCGCAGTCGAAAGGACGATGCTAGGAGTATCCTGTTCCACACAAGTAAGGGATGGGATCCGAAGCTTCGATCTGTGTCAACGATCAAAAATCAAAGATGCCGTTTTGTACGCCGAACAGTCGAAGATAAGATGGGCCTGACACGTAATGCATATGAATGGCCACCGACGAACAAGAGCCGTTAGTGACAGGATTCCTCGGTATGGCAGACGTATTGCAGGAAGACCACCGATCCGATGGTTAGAGTTCTTCACGAAGAGCCTAGAAGAAAGATATAATGCTCAACGAATACCTAGAGCGAACAGAACTACTCTTGCACGCGACAGGGAAAAATGGAATATTTACTGGCGCCTGCTCGAGTCACTCGACGATCAACGGGACTACATGTGATACAGGGGTTGTAATCAATCACCTTTAACGATTTGTAATGAAGTCGAATGCATAATACACCCTCAAAGAGTGATCAACGACGAGAGCTTTATTCTTCATTCTTAAAACGTAGATTTATTCGGCCATACTGGTAGAGACACTTGGATACATAGATGCCGGGACCGCTCTTCTTCATGAGTTGCGCGGGCTTGAGCACCTTTTTTATTTCTTTCTTTGTTTCGCAGTTGTCGTTTATGGCGGCGGCTTATTTAGACCATGGCGGCCAGTGCAAATCCCATACCGTGATCTGTAAAACGAGAATAGCTAGGCGTACAGCTGACTAACTTTGGTTACACACACGTTTTCCAACGTTTAGCTGCTGGTCGTCTTAAGCAACGCCTGCACCCTCGTGGAGTGCACTCTATAGTTCCTCTCTATCTGTCATCTGTTTTTCTCATTATTTGATCGGCCCATCTATGTTTCGCCATCGATCTTAATGCTTTCCTGGGTCTCGAAGATGCGATAGATTTCAAAGATCAGAGCTTCACATTCCGGTTAGATAGTGTGGCTGCCAGTTATATCGCAGAAATCATCGTTCAAGCCTCTCTGTGATTAGTCCGCAGTATTCTTGACATGGTTGAAACATCGGCCTAGTCCCTGCTGCATAACGCAGCGTTCAGGGAACGGGTGAATCAAAAAGGTGAGCGCGGATTTTCGAGCCCTTTAGTTGGTCGATGGCTTCTTCAAGAGGCCTGAAATCGGACTAAGTTGCTTTTCTTCTTTTGTCTAATTCCTTCTCGATGTCGCTCTACGCGTTTAATTAAACACCGAAAGTGTGCGCACGAAGTGCCCTATGTAATTAGAGAAGCACCCTGCTTGATCTGATCATCTTGGCATCACAGGTTTCTGATTAACACTATCTTCTTACGATTTATGCGTAGTCCGACGTTTTTCTCCTCTTTGTCGAGCTTATTGATCATCCTCTCTGCTGCGTTGGTACTTCTTGAGAAGGTGACCATGTCGTCGTTGAGACGAAGGCTTAGTAGGAATTTCCTACCAATTCATATCCCGATCTCATTACAATAGGGTGACTTTATTACACATTACAGCGCTGCACTAAACAGCGTTGGCAATATGGTTTCGCTATGTTGAGCATCTGTTCCTATGGGTATGGCAAGAGGTGGACGAAAGAGCTGCACCTTCGTAGTGCATTTACGATAGGAGTCAGATAAAGTTTTTATGTATGCTTCATCCGCTCTTTGATCGACGAGCGTAGATAGGAGTGCATTCGTTCGACGCTGCCAAGTCTTTTTCATAGTTGACAAATTTCAGGACTAGGAGCTAATGGCATTCCCGACAAACTTCA